GTGGAGGATGGGGTGGTGGGATGCTTCTGCACCAGGCTAGCCCAGGATCCCATATTCTTGATTTTTAGGTCCTGCGAGGCAGAGAGACCACGGGGCAGGTGAGGGACCCAGCTGTGTCTGGACTCCTCCAGAGAGGCCTGAAGTCTGAGGACACTCACCAATGCATCTCCCTGGAATCAGGGTGAGGGGCACTCATGGGTCCACTGTTCCTACCTTTTTGGGTGCAACTGGTGTCTTCGGCTCCTGTTTCTGTTTGTCCTTGTCGGGGGCCCCTGGTGGGGGTGCGTTCTGCTCAGGGGGCCGAATCACAGGCCTCCCGACATCCACGGGCTTCATCTCAGGCCCTGGAACACAAACAGCCCATGGGCCTGTGCCCACCCCACCTCAGTGGGGCATGGTTGACCGGCCCACAGAAAGCTCACATCCAGCACAGGCCTGGGGGCCTCCACCTCGGCTGGGTGCGGAGAGGGCACTCACGCTGGGGCAGGTGGACGGGGGCCTTGATGTTCTCCGGATGCTTGGGGGGCTCCGGCCGCAGCGAGGGGCTGAAGGGCTCACTGCGGATGATGGGTGAGTGGATCTTCTCCTCTTTCACCACCACCAGGGGCTGGGGCTGGACCACAGAGGCCGCACGCAGCTCCTGGGATGGCACAGGCATGGCAGCCGGTGAGGCGTGAGGCGGACAGGCGCCCCTGGCCCTGGCCTGTGCCTGTCCCTGGGGGCCATGGCCCAGCCCTGCCCTTTACCTGCTTCTTAGGCTGGACGTTTTGCTGGGGTGGTGACTGGTGGGTCAGGCTCTGGAACTGTGGCATCTGAGGGGAATGTATCATAAGCGGGGAGGGCGCTTCACGGAGGTGACCTAGGAGAGGAGATAAGAAGCTTACCAGCAGGTTCGGTACGAAGGCTGCCGGCCCTGGGCCCCTCTAGGCACACCCAACCCAAGGGAAACCCCACAACGGCTGAGCCCCTGGCATGCGGGGTGCTGTGCTCAGTGTGCAGCGGGGCTCTGAAGCCATGAGCTCAGTCCTGCTGTTTGATACCATGTGTGTCAGAAAAAAAGTTCCCACTAGGAAACTTGGAGAAGTGTGGATCCTGATATTTTTGGTCCCACGTGGAGTCTGAGCTTGAGTACGTTTTAAAAGCTCTCCAGACGGTTCTCTGGTATGGCTTGGGTTAAATACCAGGGATGTCAAAAACCCCACAGAGCAGGCAGCCTAGGCCCCCTGCCGTACCCATGTGGCTCGACTTGCCTGCCTAGACAACTGCTGTGGGCCAAGGGCCGGGTCCCCAGGAACCTCCCCAACACAACTCAGCCTTCGAGGCCCAGTCAGAGGAGGGGCGAAGCCTGGAACTGGCCTGCACCACAGTGGGAACGGCAGAACAGGTCTTGGACTCGTGGTTCTTGCAGAAAGTGGGCCAGCCCACTCAACCCTTATCCAACCAAAGGCTGGGAGACCCGGGTAAGCCACAGGGTCCAAACATCCAGCACAGGCTAAGAACCCAGAAAGCCCCGCTACTGGCCCCTAGAAAAGGCCTGTCAAAGCACTTCAGCCTGATACTTTAGCTTCACTGGTGAGGAAACAGTCCTAGATCACAGTAGGCCAGCACCTCAGGACCAAGAAAGCTGGCAGAGCTGAGTCTTGTCTTTGACGACTTCACCCACCCCAGTTACAGTATGTGGACACCTCCTTGCTTGAATCCCTGGTATGTCCTGGCCAGCTCCAGTGTGGGACAAGCCATACCTGTCCACTTAACATAGCCGCCTCTCTGCAGTGCCTTTGGTCCCGGCCCTGCCTTGTGCCTCATGCTGAACAACCTAAGCTGGGTGCTGCATGCCAGCCCTTCCACCAACCTCCTTCAGGACTACCTCCAGCTGCTGTCTGCCAGCACAGACACCCTTGGGCCCTCCGCAGGTTCCCTAGCCAGAAGTGCCCATTTTCATGGGCCCAGAACAGATCTCAATGCCCCAGCTATGGTGGACCTCCCAGCCCCTTCAGAGCTGGAACTCGCTACTAACCCCAGAAGTCAGAACAGCTGCTTGCAGAGGGCATGGCCATGAGCACCAGCCTGTCCCTGTGCCTTGGCTCCCGGCCTGTGTGACTGGTTTTGCTGGCCTTGGTGCTGGGCTTCTTCCCAGGTCTGGCCCGGCCAGTGATCCACAAATACATGACTACAACGGCCTCTTGTCTGGGATGGCTCCCCTGGGTGCATCTGCTGAGGATTACCTGGATGATGGCAGGCTCTCAGGCCCACGACTTACAGGAATCTCCTGCCCACTGGTGGCTTCATCCACTAGAACCTAGACAGGAGCCCAGTGGCTCAGGGGTGGTGCCTGCAAGTTGGCTAGATGCCCAGGGATGCCTGCCAAGCCTCTCTGGACGCCAACAACTTGGCCTTTGGCCCAAATTCCCCAGCTGGGCTCCAGCCCACATCATCCCCTGTGACCCATTTCAGGCCACAGGAGCTCAGGGGGAGATGGGCCCAGAGACTCAAAGCACAGGTAACCAGAGGGAACCTGTCCTGCCCCAAGTGCTGACTCTTCCAAAGGCACCTCATCACCTGCCCATCACTGGTCCCCACAGGGAAACCCAGCGTTGCTCAAGGGTGGAAAACAGGCACAGCTGCATGGCTGCTGGGACCACCACTGGTCTTTCCCAAGGAGGTCAGCCAACTGTTCTTGGCTCAGGGTGTGCAGCGATCCACTTGGCACCTGGCAGCTTTTGCGGGGTTTAGGAGCAGTCACAGCCTAAAGTTAAAAGCCTTGTTTAATTTGCAGGCACCACCCACTGCGCCCCCCAAGCCAGGCTGCACGGTCTACGTGCCAAGTCCAGAAATCTCAACCCTGACCCTCACACGTCACCACATCATGAAGCATCTGCTAGAACACTGCCCCACCATGGTTGCCAGAATGTTTTGGTCAGACACCTGGAAAACAAGTGCCTAGGGAAGGTGAGAGGGCATGGCTTGCACAATACCACTGACAGGAAAAGGGCAGCTTAGATCAGGCTGGAGACTGGGAGCAGGAGACAGGGACGGCTCATGGGTGAGCCCTGGGCTACTTTTAAGTCTTGACCCAATTCTCTCTGACATGGCCCCAGCTCCACCAGGAGGGCCTCCCAACACCAAAAGCAGAACATCTGTTTTCTGCAGGTTTCCAAACAGACCTGCCCCTGGCTATGCCTGGAACTCACCCCCCACTGTTCATTAAACTAGCTCCTGCTTGTCCTCTGGTCACCTCCTCCAAGAAGCCTGTCCCAACCCCCAGAGGTGAAGCAGGTGCCACCTCTGAGCTCATGGCTTCCCAACCTAGCAGGAATCACGATGAGCTTATGACCTGACTATGAGTTCCAGAAAGGGGTCAACAGGGGCCTGATTCCGTCATCTCAGCTTATAAGCAAGATGAACAACTGATAAATTCATGAAGTATCATCACTCTCTTTCAGCTGTTCCTCTTGAACCCCAGGGCCTTTGAGGCTCAGCTCTGAGCCCACTTCAGCCTGCAGCACAAACTGACCCATCTGGCTTCTCAAGAACGAAACTCTGGACCTAGCGCCAGCCTCCCCAAGGGCCCAGGGGCGGGGGGCACTTACCAGTTGAGTAAGGGTCTGACTTGTGGTGCCGGGGTGAAGGGTGGTGCTGGATGACTTGCTGAGGCTTGGCGGGCTGTGGTGGGGGTGGCTGCTGGCCCGTGGGCGGGTGGGAGGGCTGCTGGCTGGGGGGTGGTGGGGGTTGCTGGATATGGGCCGGGAACTGCATGGGCTGCATGTGCACGGGCCGTGTTGGGGGCTGGTGCTGTGGCTGGGGGGCGGCTGTGGCTGTGGGGCGGTGGAGGTGGCTGCTGCTGCTGCTGCTGTAGCTGCTGCTGCA